TATTGCGCCGAGGGTAAAAAAAACTTTTGACGAGCCGAAAGTCGGGGCCGCGGGATGGATATCGCGGCCCGCTTTTCTTCCGCTTCAGCTTCCTTCTGCCGCGACGCTGCGAGCCAAACGATCGAATTTTGCGATTCCCTGCCGCGAAGTAGTAAAAAAGTGGCCCCAAACAGAGCCTAATTATTACTTTTTATAAATATTAAACTTCAATTTAATAATTAATTTTAAAAAAAAATTATATTAATAATTAACTAGTTTAATAAATATATAACTATTAATTATCATAAGTTTAAATAAAATACTGATTGAATTTAAAAAGTGGATAGATTTTGACTATATTGAAATGTTTAAAGAAGTTAAATTCATATGTTTTACTAAATACTATTATAATTTGTTGTCAGAGTCTAACAATCATAACATATTTTTAAATCCTGACATAAATTGTCTAAAAGTTTCACACAATTTAATAAATCTGTCACCAAACATTATTTGAAATTCAACCCTTTCAGGATTTATATTTACTGGATATATTAAATCCTAGTAACTTGAATGAATTTACACCCTCTGTCCTCTCCATAAGAAGATTCCTTTTTAAGTTTTCGAACACTTACATACATACCAGTCAATTTATATGTATTTATATATCTAACCCCTTAACTTTAATTTCTTACAAAAACACACATAAGTGCAAAAAGCATCAACTATCATAACAATAGTATTAGATATGTAACCATCCTTATAAGAAGGAAATATCATAGCAATTACAATCGAAATCAAAGCTATTCAAATCTTGATCTGCACTGAGACAATCTAAAACTTCTTTGTGGCGCTCTCTTTGAAGGAATAATCATAGCGATTTCAAAATCTGCAAACAAGCAGCAGCCAAACATAGATCCAGGTAAGAAGAGAAATACATGCGTTTTGCAGGAAAATGGGAAGTGTGTGTGTGTGCGCGCGCGTTTGTCGGTGTGCGTGTGTGTGTCCATGTGTTTAAATATCTAGCACATACTTTCTACATATTTACATATTCACATATCTAACAGCTTTAGTTATCTTACATATGGATAAGAGATGTATTTAACTTTTTAGGGTCTGTTTGACGCAGCTGCAGCTTTGCAGCTGCACTGCCCCAATAAGCTGTTGTGGGAAAGCTGTTGCGGTGAAGCTGACTGGTTGTTTGTTACAGCTGCGTGAAAATAGCTGTGGGACAGCTGTTTCTGAAAAATGATCATTCTGCTCATGTTTAGTTAAACTGTTTAGAACAGAACAATGATAATCTTATATATTATGCATCAGACGCAAAAAATTCACTTTACAAGCTAAATATGTAAAATATAAACAAGCATTTTATATATTTCAAAAATGTACTTTTATTACTAATAATATAGGAGCATCTACATCCATTCCATAATTTTTTTATGTGCGAGTCCAAGGTGCACATTCAGCTGGAATCAAACTTTGCTACTCAAGTTTTTCAATAACAGATAATTGCATAAAATCATTATTTCATTGCAAAATTTGTTGGTAAATGTCGATTATGGGCAAAGATACAAAGCAAGCAGTTACACATATGAATATTAGGTGAAGATGAGCAACAATTCCAACCATATTTAAATCACAGTAACACATAAGCAAGACTTCAATCAGAAGTAAACAACATATCTTGGAATGAAACTATAATCAGCACAGTGCAGCCATGAGGAAAAACATGGCTGGAAAGGGGAAGATGGCAGTGATCAGTACTATTCAGATTCATGACTCCTCATCTCAATAAAATGTGCATATAGCAGCTGTTATTCCTGACTAATGTACATCAAATTCACATAATATTGAAGTTCTATAAACATTGTATTAAAACTAAACAGAGACCTGCATTGCAGCCTTATTGTGTATTGCATTAAAGATCTTACAGCCTTATTGATATAAAAAAGAATCCATGCTATACTACATAATTCTTAGCTAAAAAAGAAGCTAATTACACATTTACACAATTATTAGTTCACAACTTCACCAGAACTGCAATCTTCAAATAAATAATTACATAAATACCACAACTCCTATGTATTTACATATGTAACAACTAAATTTTAATTTTTTACCAAGATTTACATACATACCAGTCAATTCCTATGTATTTACATATATAACACCTAAACTTCAATTTTTACATATATGCCAGGTGTATTTCACATTTTAAAGGCTAAAATAGAATTGTAAAAGAAGTTCAGGTGTTATAATGCAAATACATAGGAATTGGGTGGCATGTATGCAAATGCCCCAAAGAAAAATAGGAGTACCGACCGAAGAAAATTTTCTTTACTTATATTCATTGTCCTCATCTTAATTGGCCAATACTCTTCAAAGACTGATATTAAATATGTCAACCTGTAAACAAATCAAAATAGCAGGAGAGTCAGCTGAAAACTCAAAACCATTGATATCCTTCCAACACTCAAATTCACAATCTAACGATCAAAAACCCCAAAACCAGAAAGAAATGAGGCAAATTTAGTTCAAACGGGTAATATCAGCAAAAACAAGTTCCATGCCGAGAAGAGACTACAAAAGCTTCCATGCCAACACTCCCGTAAGGAACTCCAGGATATCAAACTGGTAAAATCAGCAACCAAAAATAATGGCAGTATGTTCTGTCAATTCACTGAGCATACCGTTCACTCCACCAAACTACAGAACAAACGAATTAAGCATAAGAGATTTGAAGTGCCCAATCGTGATCATGGAACCAGCTAGAAAGCTAGATGCTACTTTCTCCAAAGTCATAAAAATTTAATCACCTTATTTTCAATAGTTTTAACTACACCATTTCTTCTGATAGAATCATTCCACAATTTATCCTTCATAGTTTTATTTCCACAATTTATCCTTCCTAATTTTATCATACATACATCTTACAATTCTCATTTCTACCACACTCAGCTTCCTAACTTTATCATACATACATCTTCCTAATTTTTCTGTCATTTTGGCCCTTGGCTTGTTCTCAAATTGATCATTTTGTTTTTAATTATAAATGAAATTTGGGAGGCCAAAAAATATAAAGTAAATAAATATATTCTATGCTAGAATATTAAGTTATCAATCTGTCGGCACCAACTCTTCGGCATAGAACAAATATATAAATGCATAAGAATTGTGTGGTATGTATTTAAATGCCCCATTCCTTTTGTAATTTAATCGACCATGGCAATGGCATAATTAAGAATTGAATCAAGCATTTTATGAAGTTTAAAGTTTTATGAATTATGTGAACATTTAACACTCTAATAAATAATAAATAAATAAGGTATCCCATAACTTAAGTAATAAAGGCTTTAAGCATAATTACTTTTAAATTCTTTTGGTAAAGTTTGGGAAGCATCAAATTTGTATTTTGACTTTTAAGATATTGGCGGTATAACGTAAAGATAAAATTTAATCCAACAACCGTGATTCCGATTAGCTAGC